TTTCCTAAAGTGATGGATTTTCTTTTAGAAACCACCCGGGAAATTTCTTGGTTTCCCGGTGGGCCAGTCCGCCACTGTACTCATGAATTGAAAAAATTATAGAGAACTTATTTAAAATTGTATTTCAGATTTAATTTTTAACTAGTAGCATAGTATTCAATTATTTGTACTCAATTGTTTTATTTAATTACATTTAAAAAGAAATTTAAAAAAAATCCAAAATATGTTTTAGGCAGTAAATAATTAACTCTAAGGCTAAAACATTTTCTTTCAACATTAAAAAAAATTTCCATGCATTTTAGTGCTTGTACTACCATTTATGAGTGGTACTTAAATCTTTTTCTAGTCTTTATTTCTTTATAAAACAGCATCTGTGTGTGTGTTAAACTTCAGTGGTAAAATTTTTAACCAATCCTAGTGATAAGGTGTCAATTTTGATACCAATTTATTCAAAGCTCTGTATTTCATGTTTGGCAAATCATAGGATGATATAAAAAGCACATGACAAGATATTTTGTTCTCTATTTTAAAATAGGAAAGTGGGTGGTGGTTATTTAAAAATGGACATTTTATTTTGATACTAAACTTAGTTTAAGGCCATATTCCTTTGTTATACCTCATAAAAATCTTGTTTTTAAAAAGAACTGCATCAAAAATCATGCTGTATTGTTTATCTATTTATGTTAATCATTATATTGCAGTATTAACTCAAATTAAATGTCTTTAGCCATATAGTTGATTCATGAATGTTAGGGTTAAGATTTACCAATGTGGCAAGAGCAAGGTCTTTACAAGTGGATTAATCCTAGTACTTTGATCTGCTAGAGGTTGGGATTTTTATATTATTTTGCATTCAAATTAGCAAGTATAAGTAAAATAATTTAGGTTATTTTCATATTTAGTTCATAATAAAAATATAGTTCACTATTTAAAAGTTAAGCTTGTGACATTTGTACGTACTACTAGTAGTACTACGATAGTTAGGCTACTTGCAATAGTTATTAATTTATTCTTTCATATTCTTACTAAGTTTACTCTATAGTTCAAAACACACACTTCTTTTTTTTTCGATAAATTAAAACAGGACTAATAGTAATATAAAGTAATTTATTTTGATATTTTGTGAAAAAGTTATAAAAAGAGAAAATGAAATTGCATAAAATTTATATATAAAAGTTACAAATCAAACTACATATACAAAGTAGGAGCATCAATGATCACAAATACCAAGTACTTAGAAGTAAAAGTATAAGTTGTAAGGAGGATCAATGAATAAACAAGTTTTGTAAATAAATATACTTCATGCAAATCATGAGTATAATGCAAAAAAAATTAATACTTCAGTTCAACATTTTTACCAAGCTAAAAAATCTATAATCTATCTGGTAATGAAAAAGTTATATGCTGAGAAGTAGACATAGTTTTATGCAAATCATAAATGGATGCAAATATAATGAAAACTAGTCTAACATTGTTATACTAAAAAGCTATACTGAGATGTGTAAATAAACACATATCAGTAGCTTATACTGAAGTGTCAAAAACTTGCACACAAACTGTACAGTTATACATTATGTATATATACACTGAAGACTTTATTACACATTTTTAGATAAATCATGAGTAAATGCAAAAATAAATGAAAACTGAAGCTCAACATTGTTACCTTAAAGTTATCTGAAGATGAAGAACCAAGTGTAGACCAATAGTTGTACACATGTTCAGATAAATACTGAAAACGTTCTGCTTAAATCTTGGGCAGAAACTAAAACTCAAGATATGTATAAAAAATGTAACGAAAACTGAACATAGTAATGTGTAATAAATAAAAATTTAATCAAGGAACACAAACCATATTCATAGTCAAATTTCTCTTTATAAAAACATTGGCTATACAAAAAGTGAAATAAACATTTAGAAAATCAATGTAATGTTAAAGTTTTAAAAAAATAGAATTGCATATGAAATAAATAGAAAAACTTAAATGCTGAGTGTGATGTAAACAAATATGAATATTAAAAAAAAAGTTGTTATAAGCACCAAACCTCTACTAAAGAAACTTTAGTTTTTTAAGAAAATAGAATAATAATAAGAAAATAAAAGGAGCCAGTCTGAGTTTTATTTTCTTTCTAACAAAAACACTAGAAATGTGATGCCTGAATTTATTTTGTAACAAGTGCAAAAGTTAAAAAACCTAATTAGCCATCACATATTGACTAGCTTTAGTAAAAAGAAAGTTAACTTCTTTGAAGAGATTTAGAAGTATGATAATCTTCAAAGTGCCTTCCTTACACACAGATGAACTTAGCACTACTTGCAAGTCATCTTATGTTGGAATGTGCTTCCCATGTGAGAGACATTCATGTGGATCTGCCAGAACTGGTGGTTGAATATTACAAACCAGAAGGCCCTTCTCGACTTTCATTTAGTGGTTTCACAAATGATTCTACTAATTTCAAGCAGAAGTTCTTCTGTTTGTACTTGCCTTTGTTATTTACCTGTTTGAAAACTATGAAAGAAGTAACGATAGACAGGTCAACAAGTCTAAAGAAAAGTTTTTTTTATCATTTCACAGTTTTACGTAAAATGGGATAATAGCTGATAAATTGATCATTCAGATGAACCTCTCCCATAACTTGTTAGCTGTGGCTTGCTAATCATGTCACCCTGTTTTCTTGTTACCTCTGTTACTGTGGTACTGCTCATTATAGAAAGATTTTGAATATCTTTTTTTATCACTGCAGTCATTGAGCCACAACTGAAAACTGTGACTCTTCCCCTTCTTAACTTACTTGAAAACATATCTGGGAAGTGGGCCCTATCCTTGCTACGTGTGCCACAAGCATAAGTGCCTAGTGAAAACAACTTATCAAACAGGGTTGGAGAAGTATAAAGGTTGTCAATAAAGAGTGTCAGTTTCCAAGGTACATTTCCATGAGAGTCATTACAATTGTGTTAGCTAAGGTACCGATCCATCCTTACTCTAAAATTTAGACAATATCCAGTCATGACTTTTGCCAGAACCCATAACTTAATCCTCCACTTGGTAGGCTTGTTAGGTACATATTGTTTAAATGAAATTCTGCCTTTTGTTCCCAGCATTTTTTCGTCAATAGATAGTTCCTTAGAAGGATTATAGTGAGATGGAAAAGCTGTTGGTAGATGATCAAGCACAGGTCTGACTTTATAGAGTTTATCATGCTTAACATCAGTTTTATGTAGATTATCAGTATAGTCATTGAAATGCAGGAAGCAAGAGATAGTAAGAAACTGTAGAAAACCGGGGTAAGTGAAGTGAAGAAGTGGTAGACCAGTAAGCTGCTAAGGAGTTATGCCCATAGCAATAGTTACACCAATAAAAGCTAAAGTTTATTTAGCAGTAACATCACTATATTTCAGTTTTCTTCTTTTCTTTCTGACATTGATGTTTAGGTGTTCCCCTTGCTAGTATGCAAATCTGTTCATATTTCTTCAGCAATTTTGGTAACAATGTTGAGAGTAAAAAGAACAAATGGAGAAAATCAAGAGGAGTTTTGAAACATGCTTGTTGGATGAGAAACATGCTCTCCTCAGGTGAAGTCCCTCAACGGTTTTGGCTGCTCATTTTTGAGGACCTCCCATTTACACTCTGCACTACAGGCCAGTAGCTTTTGTTTTATCTTCTTGCCTCTGGCCATTTTGGAAGTGGATGTAGTGCTAGTCATCAGAGAACCAGTAACAGTATCTCCAGGTTGTTGTTGGTCATGAGGAGAGTTTTTTCCTGTGAATGTAGGTCAGGCTTCTCAAATAAATTGTACTGGTGCTGTGGTTTCCTCCTCTGACACGGAAGGAAGAAACTCCTCTTCAGAGAACGAAGCAAAAAAAGTAACATCACTTTGTTCAAAGACAGATCATTCTTCTTTTTTCATTCTTTTTTTGAGGGAATCTATACCATCTTTAGAGGCCATCTAGGAAAATTTTAGTATATTATTAATGTTTGGTTGACATAATTAAAACATGATATCTGGCAGGATGTAGCACTATCTATGTAGGCTCGGATTGTTCATCGAAATGGTATTTTAAATATCTCATCAATAGGTTATCATAATTTTACAATACTATACAGTGTTTCGTTTTATAACAGTATCTATGTACTATGTAATGACTGAGTCACATGTTCTGGAAATGTTTGTAAATATCACAACAAAAAGTTTGAATTAATTCTTCTTCTTCTTTTTTTATTACATGATAACACAAAAATCAAAATAATGGTGTCATTCGAATTCACTGAATTGACAGTTTCAAATTGCTTTTATAAGTATTATTAACTATTAGTAATTAAAAAAAAATCACAGTTCCTGTGTAAACAATGTCATTGTTATCCCTTGAAGTTAGCTTTGTTACAGAAATTTGGTGTTTCTTTAAAAAGGTTAAGTACAGGATATAACAGTAATTACCAGCCAATAAAAGATAACAATAAATACTACAGTTGAAACCCCATTGTATTTAGAACTTGGTTATAAATACAACCTTCTTATGTTTACTGAGACGGTATATTAAAAAGCAAATAAAGAAAATCCTTTTCAAAGAAGGAAGTAAATATAGGGATGGCTAATATCAATCCTTCAAAA